AGACTGCGAAGAGGGCGGGGCGATCACAGTGGAGAAGCGCCTAGCACGCATTTTTTGATACTTGTAAGCAGCATCGTATGCCTGCTCTGCCGATAAGAATGACCGTCTCCACAACTACAGGTGGTAGTCAGCCGGAAGACTGAAAATAAATCGGTCGATGAGAATGACCTTCGGGAGGAACGTCTCATCACAAATGAAGCGGGCGTCTTGAAACACCCAGATGTGAAGCTCTAAGCCGCTAGCGGCACTGGACCTTGACCATCTCGTCTGGGTGATGCGGGTAAGGGCATTGATGGCGTTATGTCGAGCACCAAAGCAGTCATATAGAAGGGTCATGAAATCCGCAAAGGTAAAAACCTCACCCATACTCCGACGATGGGCATAATATCTCTCCTACGAGGAGGAAGGGCTGCCATGCAATTTGGTTGAGAGCACATCACACCACATCTCTTGCGGGGTAGCTGTCAACTTCAGTGTGCGTATGGTTATTTATGGCCACTGGGATAGGCGGAGTGTGCCATCGTAGTCGGGTATATCCGACAAATGCACAAGGGGGGGACCACCTGTTGTGCTGATGGCGAGGGGAGAGTGAATGGCATGCCTCCACTGTGGCGGCAAAGGTCAGGGCTGGTGCGGAGGTGGGAGTGGGAGCAGGTTGTGGGTCGGAGCCACTGGCACGGGGGCCAACACGTGTGGAGGTGACGGTCGCAGATAGTTGTGACGGGGTGACGAGATAAGAAGGGAGAGGAGGGGGAGAAGGCCAAGGGAAGCGAGCCTGTATGCTAGAAGTGGAAGCGATGGTAGACGAGGGAGAAGGGTGAGAAGCCTGAGCGGGTTGAGGTTGTCTCAAAGTAAGGATATCCGCCTGAGCCTGCTCAATGGTGGCCCGCAGAGTAGCCACGCGCTGGGTGCGTGAGGTCGGAGGTGGAGGGTTGGCGAGGGTATCCTAGCAGAGGGATGAGTCACGTATTGACGGGTGCTCAGAGGAGGAAGTGAGGAGACATGAGTGGAGGGAGAACTCTGAGTCGTTATGCCGCAACCGGTGTAGGAATTTGAGACCGAAGCAACATCGGGATGGGTAGATGAAACTACCTGCCCAGATACCAAATATTTGGGCGGCAACACCTACAGCAATGGGCGAAGCGGCAGGGGCAGCGGCGGTCGATGGATGTGTCACAATAAACGGTATGCTGTGAGCGGCAATGACACTCACCACTACGGAGGGGGAGTGTAGGGCCTGACCCACGGAGGAGGGGGAACCACGATTTCTATGTATTTAGAGTCGTAGGGAACTGGACCGGGAACCGGTAGGGGATGGAGTATGAGAGTGGTGGGGGGAACGATGAGGAGGTTCCTTAAGGCAGTTAACGTCAAGGGCGAGCGCATTAAGTTGAGCCTGTATGGGTCCAAACGCATTAAGGCGCGTTTGCATTGGCATGAGGAGGATCGTGAGGACGGTCTGAAGGTCTATAGAGACCTGACCGAGAGTTGTTGGCTGAATTGGTGCCTAAGAGATAGATGGTGCGATAACGATCTCCTCGGATGTACTCTTGTTCATGTGCGGTGGATGGATGGGAGTAGACATGGCGGAAGGTGGAGAAGGAGGTGGGGAAAAAGATGGGTTGGTGTGTGTGCGGAGTGAGTAGTTGTGAGTCGGAGTGGGTAGTCGTGAGCCGGTGTCGGGGCAAAAACCCTGACAAGGGTATTTGCCGTTTTTTTTTTTTTTAACGTCGGACGTTATCCGACTCTTGCGTTGAATTGAAGGACTTGATGAGACTGACATTGCCAAACGTTTATTCAGACCAGCGCTATGACTTTATACACATCTAGATGTGTATAAGAGACAGGTCTGTGTGTGTGTGTGTGTGTGTATCACTCCACCAGCTAAATCAAATTCAGCACTAACCAAAGAAGCACCAAGAGACCACCATGACATTTAACTTGATTTAAGGCAGGCCACAAGTTGTCAAGCTCCTTCCCAATTTATCCAAAAAGCACAGGATGAACATAGCCAGTCCATCCACAAACACTTGATAGAGGTGATGGTGAGCACCTAGAAACACGACTATACCAGGTGGTTCACAGGAAAAGATAATGCTGACAGCTTACGCCACACTTCACCAAAGAAGGGGATAAGTGTATCATCTCCCATGCATGCAGAATAACAAATGCGGTTCCTAATACATCATTCAAAGCTGCTGTGTATGTGTGTGCAGCCTATCATTTCAAACACGTACGTCATTCTAAACACGTCTACCATTTTGAACACCCATGAAATAAACAGACAGGAAGGCTCATCAGCACTGGCTCCATTTCCAACGGAAGATTGTGCATGCACGAGTTCAGCTAGAAGCGCCCAATGGATCTGTATCTGAAAACAGTGAAAAGCATGTGCACCTTCCTGTATGAGAAAAGTGCATCGTATTTAGACAGAAAGAAAGAGAGATACGTACCAAGCGCATGGAAACACAAAGAACGTGTAGCAAGAGAGCAGGTTAACGGAGGCCCAAAATTCCAGACAACTTGTCATGCCATTTATAACAAAACCCAAGGGTCATTTTAACCAAACTTGCCACCAATCCATAGAGTGGAGACCATACTACTAACTGCAAAACAAACAAACAAACAAAAAAAAAAAAAAAAAAAAAAACACCATAAAATTTTACCCCCAAAGGGCCCAAACCCTAATTTCAGATTTGGACCCGTTAGTCAGGAGCTGAAAGTGGGGGTCCCCGTTAACCACTTGTGGCCAGTGGTATCAATCACATCACAGCATCAGTGCAAGGGGATCCGACTGTCGCTTAAAAGTCTAAGCGTTCATGTACGCAGATCCTCAAAAATACGAATTTAAACACAAGTACTGACATTCAGGACCTACTGGCACTAGAAATTTTTCAACTGATATCTGGACGTAATTGCAGTCAGATACATCCAGAGCGGGCCATGATTGCGGTCAGATACACCCAGGAAAATCCGTGTGAGTCTGCTGTAAGCCTGCAACTGAAGCAGAGGGGGAAATCCCATCCATTAAAAAAAAAACGGATTCACTGTGTAAACAATCCCTTGAGGGCACTTACCAACCAGCCACAGCGTCCCCTTCAGGAATCGACCAGTCATAACCGTACACTGCCAACAACCGAGGAGAACAGAGTAACTAACCCCAGAGGGAAGCAGATCAACTTCCAGCGAATAGTGGGGGGCTTCACCCTATGTAATAACGCTGGTCTCTAGAAGGGTCTGGAGAAGGATGCTTATTATAGAGAGCTTTGGTACCTCAGGCAAACCAGGCGCGCTAGGCTATCACCCTCGAATCTATCACAGAAGCTTGACAAGCTAGGCTGTCTCAAAAACCTTGGCAGCCTCATCCTAAACCCTAGGCCCACCCACAAATACACTAAGAACTTTTCTAGGGCTGTTAACCGACATCATATATCCCGAACCCTAAACCCTAAATGCTAAACCCTAAACCCTAAAACGTAAATCACGAGCGCTAAACCCTGAATCCTGAACCCTAAGCCCTAAACCCTACATCCTGAACCTTACACCCTAAAACCTAAATCATGAACCCTAAACCCTGTTAGTGTACCGACGCTCCTCCCGAGAGGTCGAAAGGGGGCAATGGTGCCTGCCAGGTGCCCGAGTGGCCGAATGCTAGACCCATAACTTTTCACCACCCTATTAAAGAGGCATTGTGACATATGAAGAAAGCCGAATGCTGATTTGTTAACCAATAGTAACCTCATTGGTCTCTTGAGTCCAAGAGAGAGGTCTTGTGACCAATAGTTATAGCGTTCAAGAGAGAGAACAAACACCCATTGGTGAAAGCGAAGCGGGAACAAATAGGCATCATGTAATGAACCTGAGAAAGAAGGACATCGATGGACGCGGATGAGGACAGTCCAGGCAATATTCGGATGTCCGTTGGACAGTCATCACACACCAGCCTGCTCGAACACTCGGACCCCGGTCTGGGTTTTGCGGGGCCTATAAATGAACAAAAAAATTCACAGACATGGCAAGTGAAGGGTTAAAAGTACGGGCAAAGCCCCACTGCTGCTATGTTTTCCTGCTAAGGAAGCACAGATCAGGATCATGCTCTGTAAGCACGGGCATAGCACCAGTGGCCCCTGGTCCTAACTTAGAACCAGGATCACGCTATAAATTAGTAGGTCCCAAAGTCCAGACCTTAAACCACCAGTACATCCGAGCCTCTTTGGTACGAGCCGGACTCCCCCTGCGTAAATAGTACCAAGCGTTGCCGAAAAGCCAGCGCAGCGTTTTTTTTTCCCAAGCTTTGCCGAGATCCTAGCTAAAGCGTTGGCCTTACATCTGGGAAAAATCCTTCCTAAGTTGGTGGAGAAAGACCAGGGTGCGTTTGTTCAGGGCCGATCTTCATCAATATTTTGACGGCAATCGAGAGCATTGAGGTTATTCAGGCCGAAGAGATGGATTTTGCAGTACTACTACTCGACATGGAGAAAGCCTACGACAGAGTAGGCTGGTCATTCGTTTAAAAAAAAAAAAATAATAATAATAATAAAAACCAGCGCAGCGCCTTTTTTTTTTCCCGTTTTGGCTGGCGGCGTCACCCATTTTGGTCCAGTTTCCCCGAGCCTCAGAGAATTTTCGGAATGAGACGATCGGGGTCCTCAAGTTGCCTGGGCCCATGTACTGGCGGTTTAGAAAGGACAATCGCCTCCTCCGTAGATTTCATGGGTGCTGAACATGCAGACAACCACGTGCATGATCTGTACAGGGACATGGCGCAAGTCCAGATGCATTCTTAACAGTGCAACGGGTCCATGTAGGCAATTTCCGTATATAAGACAAGGTTCATACAAATTTAGGGTGCATAATACATGTATATAAGTTATATTAATTATGTTTCCGTAATCACCACCTATCCCCTGGCTTCTTACCAGCTGCCTCTCCTTTTCCGCTGCACGGATAGCTGCAACACGCAAGCGCGCTTTCCACCCTCTGAAGTGACACTGGATTACGATAACGGCTTGTATTCTACGCATCTCCCAGTGCCATGCCTCTTCATATGGACCCGAGTACTTGATTCGATCATTAGTCCAATTCAACAGCAGATCTGGACGGTCCATCTGTGTACAAGACTCCCGGACTGTCTGCAATCGCCTCATCTTCATCTGATAAGTCTGCGTGTCCCGTGAGTAATCTCTCTCTGTGCGCCGATTTTTCCGCTCGGTCTGAGAATAAGCGTGATGATACTCCACACCTGGTCAGTGATAAACCGATTCCGGGCACACCCACTCAACATCAGGCATGAGACTGAAAGCTGTGTATCGTATTACAGAAGATAGAGATTGAAGTGTTGCATGGCACATAAATGTTCCAAAAGGGGAGAAAAATAGGACCGGGGGGGGGGGGGGGGGGGGGAGAAGAAACGGGGTCGGATTCGTCTCTGCCAAATGTAAATGGGCCACAATCATAAAGTACAACAATGAATGAATGAACGAAAGGGGGAGATCGGATTTGACACAATCGGCGCAGTCGGGAGAATCAAACTCTCATCAGCCACGTTTTTGTTCTTCTGTATTTATATAGAAATATAATACAATAATAATCCTGCAAACGAAATTAAGCTCAGACAGTTTAATCGAATATCAGAGCAGCTGAGGACGGCTCCCCGCTGTGCGGTTCAACTCGATGCTTGCCTTTGCTTGACTGTGCTGGAGTGCCCTTGATTATGTTTGTCTGTGCTTGAGTGTGCTTGAGTGTGCTTGAGTGTGCTTGAGTGTGCTTGAGTGTGCTCGAGTGTGCTTAAGTGTGCTTGAGTGTGCTTGAGCGAGCGCGAGTGTGCGCAAGTGTGCGGGAGTGTGCGCGAGTGTGCGCGAACGCGTGCTAAATTATGTTTGAGTGTGTGCTTGGGGGTGTGCTTGGGGTTGGGCTTTGCGTGAGTGTGTCCTTGAGTGTGTGGTTGAGTGTGTGCTTGAGTGTGTGCTTGAGTGTGTGCTTGAGTGTGTGCTTGAGTGTGTGCTTGAGTGTGTCCTTGGAGTGTGTGCTTGAGTGTGTGCTTGAGTGTGTGCTTGAGTGCGCTCGAGTGTCCTGAGTATGTTCGAGCTTACTGCCACGGAGTTCAAGTGGGGGCACAGGTGTCTGTGAACTATTCTATCGCCATCATGGAGAGCGTTCTAACCCCCGATCACCAGGAAGGAGGAGGAGGAGGAGGAGGAGGAGGAGGAGGAGAGGTACCCGTGAGTTTGTTCTTGTAGCCGCCATACCAAATCTTGCTGTCCTTGAACGGCTGAATATGGACTGTTACTGTCTTCCATGGATTGCCTGTCGCATCCTTAACCTCCACGACGATGGTCTCCGGCAGAACCACTTTTGGCAATGTGCCTGCCACCTTCGACCTATCGACATCGTTAGTGAGTATCACGACGAATCGAGCTCCTGCGATCACCACTCCGCCGCCACGGCTATCTTCGTGATCCACCGCCTCCATCATCCCTTCTCTCGGTCCTGTCGTAGCGCTCCCACTGTCATCCACTGTCGCGGCAAACGCCTCTCTTCCACTCTGGCGAACAACAATCTCACCTACCCTTTCCCGCTCTTCAAGTGGCTCGGCACTCTCTCCCTCTTCCATGCGGACGATCAAGCCAAACGTGGGGTGATCAACAGCCTTGCTAATCCTCGCTTTGAGTTCGTACACCGTCTGCTCGCCGTCCATCGGGATCTCTATTATCCTTCCCTCAGGAAAAAGTTTAATCAGGCATTTCACCTTTTCCGGAAATGGTAATGTGCTCCTCGACGGCTGGATGTTAACGATGGGATCTATGACACCGCTAGCTACCACATCCACCCCTCCTTTCTGATCTGAGTCATCATCCGATGGCTTCGAACGCCCCTCCTTGTCCATTGCCGAGACGCGAGCAGCGCTTCCAGTATCCGTCCCTTCCTTCGGGGCTATCGAACCCTCGTCCTTTGGCTCCCTCTCTCTATCTTTTCCTCCCTCGTCTGTTTCTCCCCCTCCTCCTGCTGCAACTGCTGTTGCCGCTGCATCGGCATCAGCACCACTCGCTTCTCCAGCCACCATTTCCTGGGAGTCAGTTCTCTCTCCCATGTCAGATCCCCCAGACCGCTCATTTTCGTTCGCCGTCAGATTCGATCTCTGCGCACTCGTATCCCGACCTTTGGCCCCCGTCTTAGCTAGATCTTTTGCGCCGTCGGATGGCGACGATGGCGGTAGCATCGAAGAGGCCTTAGCAAGATCTTTTGCGCCGTCGGCCTCCCTCAGCTCCTTGGAGGCGGCAGAAGAAGAAGAGCCAATCCCCGCAGCAGGAGGAGATGAAGGTGTAGCTTGCGGATCATCGCGATCCCCACCATCTTCCTGTTCCGTCCCGATTGCCATCGATACAAGATCTTCAGCACGAGGCTGGGACGGAGATATCTCTACCAAGGCGGGGGCGTGCTTCCCGCCCATGTCATCAGATGGTCCCATCTTCCCCGCCGTCGTACCCTCTGTTGTCCCATCGGATGACCCTATCGCGACCGGTGATTTTTCTCCTCCTACCTCCCCCTCTTGAGAAACACTGACTATACTCTCATGGCCCGCGGATGTTCCACTCATCACCACCCCTCCCTCTCCTGTCTCTTTCGCCGCAGGGTTTACTTCCTCCATCTCCTCCTACTCCTCCCCTTCCCCTACACACGCTTGCCCCAAAGGCGTAAACTCCACAACAACACCTCTTCCCGTAATTAGCCTTGTGTCACCACCTCCAGTCAGGGTCGCATCTGGCGCTCAAGTAGGCAAAAAATGATTCGAGAACCATGTCTAAACAACATGATTACACGCTCGGCACCAAAGTGCAATCAAACCGTGTAAGCAAAACATGATTACACGCTCAGCACCAAATTGCAATCAAACCGTGTAAGCAAAACATGACTACACGCTCAGCACCAAATTGCAATCAAACCGTGTGAGCAAGCAAAATAATACCAAGAAATGGAACAAAAAGTTCGTCATTGAGATAATTGCAATCAATTGTTTTTAGGTTCGTAGGGCGATGGCCTTGAGATATATACACAGGTGATCGGCCCCACGTAATCCCGAGCTCGTGCTACCTTCGTCGTCGCATGAAGAACCGTGACCACATCTCGTGCGCTAAGAAGAGCACCCACATTACCGCGACCATGAATCCAGCCATTACCAGAGGGCATGACTTGGGCGGAGTATTGAGGAGGATCGCAGCGAAGGACAACTGCGCGATTGCCACTAGAAGAATCAATTTCAGGATCGCGCACAGGTTTCGCCATAACCACCGTCCGCGAGATTCGTTTCTCCTTGCCTCGTTCTGCTCCCAGAAGAGACGGTCTGCCGAGTGTCTCATGGAATCGCCAGAGCTGCAAGCTGTTCACTGCCCCTTCGGATCACCTCCTCGTCATTTTCGTCCTCTCCCTCCTCCTGCTCCTCCTCCTCTCCTACCATCCGGCCGTGGACGCCGGCCCAGCCGTCGGCATCCGACTGGCATGACGTCTCCCGCTGCGATTCCCCCTCTTGCCGTTTCCTCAACTCGAAGCTCATTGGATCTCTCTCTCTCTCTCTCTCTCTCTCTCTCTCTCTCTCTCTCTCTCTCTCTCTCTCTCTCTCTCTCTCTC